AACATCATGGCGCCTAACCCATAAGTGCTCCGTTCTACTTCTGACTCATGCCTGAGTCAGAAGTCACTTAGCGCACAGCACGAACTCTGTAGTGCCGGCAAGGATCCTGAAATACTTTGGGTAGATTTTAAACTCAAATTTGACCCGGCCAGCACCGTTAGGTTAGTCTTTTTCGATTTCCAACTGTCAAGTGATTTTTGTTTACCTGCGCAACAATACACTTGGTGGTTTCGAGGCGTAGCGTCAGCCTCAAGAGCTGAGGTCCCGGGTTCAAAATTAGGGGAAGGCTGGGTATTTTTCACGTGGACTTTTAGTAATTTTCCCTGGTCTCTGAGCAGTAACATCGGACGCCCGTGTGTGCATATTGCCATTCGGTACATTATATTTGTAGTGTTCTTATTAGGCATTTAAACAAGGCCTATGACATTAGGGTGTTCCCTATTAGTGTCAGTTCCCTGCCTGACACCCATCCCTGATATTTAAGCACTCTGAGTTACTGCGTTCTCTCCTCCCACTTTCTTTCAAATTTAGACAGTTCGGTCTGTTTTCCGATTTCCAACCCCCCCCCCCCCCCCCCACCCCCCTTTTTTTAATGCTCTCGCTCTTTTCTCCAGTTTTATTTCGATTCTTTTGCACTACTTTACTCTCGCAGTTTGTCCGTCTGTCTGTATTTGTATCTCTCGCTTTCTCTCTCTCTCAATATTTCTCTGCCATCTATTGCGACAGCTTAAGTCAAGGCCGACGTGCTCTCTGTCATCACTATCGCTTTTAGTCTAAAACCTCCCTAGTTGTCTCTAACTGCCAAACAATCTCGCTTTCACCACATTTCAGAAAAAAAAAAAAAAAAATTATATTAATCGAAATTTTTTTTCAACAATGTGAACATTCGCAAATTATCCCCAAAGGATTGACAACCAAATTCCACCCTTCAGTCGGGCCGCCATTTCATGAACTGCAGCAAACCATTGGTCATATTAGAGGAGAAATGCGCTTATCTGCGCATGCGTTGCACGCTAATTAAATGCAAAACCTTAGTCGCAGGCATTATCTTTCTCATAAATTTGTTTACCCTGGTCTCCCCATTTACACAGCTAGACACTAGATCGCTTCTTACTGGATGACCTACTGACCACCTCACTACTGACAGGTCGGCCTCGAGAGTTCCACATTTCACACAAGGTCCGCACTCGCGCTGATACCGCGTGTTGTATTTCTTACCATGCCAGAACTTTTAATACTTCTAAAACATTTGGATATTGGGTATGTCACACAACCCCCCATAGAGAGTGACCAAACCTATGGCACAGGCCATCTGTTTCTCGGGAAAAAAACACGTAAATGCAAACAAGCCCACTAACATCTCTTCTACACATGTACAGAAACAGGCCCACTAACATCTTTTCTACACATGTACAGAAACAAGCCCACTAACATCTCTTCCACACATGTACAGAAACAAGCCCATTAACATCTCTTCCACACATGTACAGAAACAAGCCCACTAACATCTCTTCCACACATGTACAGGAACAAGCCCACTAACATCTCTTCCACACATGTACAGAAACAGGCCCACTAACATCTCTTCCACACATGTACAGAAACAGGCCCACTAACATCTCTTCCACACGTGTACAGGAACAAGCCCACTAACATCTCTTCCACACATGTACAGGAACAAGCCCACTAACATCTCTTCCACACATGTACAGAAACAAGCCCACTAACATCTCTTCCACACATATACAGAAACAAGCCCATTAACATCTCTTCCACACATGTACAGAAACAAGCCCACTAACATCTCTTCCACACATGTACAGAAACAAGCCCATTAACATCTCTTCCACACATGTACAGAAACAAGCTCACTAACATCTCTTCCACACATGTACAGGAACAAGCCCACTAACATCTCTTCCACACATGTACAGAAACAAGCCCATTAACATCTCTTCCACACATGTACAGAAACAAGCCTAACTAACATCTCTTCCACACATGTACAGAAACAAGCCCACTAACATCTCTTCCACACATGTACAGAAACAAGCCCACTAACATCTCTTCCACACATGTACAGAAACAAGCCCATTAACATCTCTTCCACACATGTACAGAAACAAGCTCACTAACATCTCTTCCACACATGTACAGGAACAAGCCCACTAACATCTCTTCCACACATGTACAGAAACAAGCCCATTAACATCTCTTCCACACATGTACAGAAACAAGCCTAACTATCATCTCTTCCACACATGTACAGAAACAAGCCCACTAACATCTCTTCCACATGTGTACAGAAACAAGCCCACTAACATCTCTTCCACACATGTACAGGAACAAGCCCACTAACATCTTTTCCACACATGTACAGAAACAAGCCCATTAACATCTCTTCCACACATGTACAGAAACAAGCCTAACTAACATCTCTTCCACACATGTACAGAAACAAGCCCACTAACATATCTTCCACACATGTACAGAAACAAGCCCACTAACATCTCTTCCACACATATACAGAAACAAGCCCACTAACATCTCTTCCACACATGTACAGAAACAAGCCCACTAACATCTCTTCCACACATATACAGAAACAAGCCTAACTAACATCTCTTCCACACATGTACAGAAACAAGCCCACTAACATCTCTTCCACACATGTACAGGAACAAGCCCACTAACATCTCTTCCACACATGTACAGGAACAAGCCCACTAACATCTCTTCCACACATGTACAGAAACAAGCCCACTAACATCTCTTCCACACATGTACAGAAACAAGCCCATTAACATCTCTTCCACACATGTACAGAAACAAGCTCACTAACATCTCTTCCACACATGTACAGGAACAAGCCCACTAACATCTCTTCCACACATGTACAGAAACAAGCCCATTAACATCTCTTCCACACATGTACAGAAACAAGCCTAACTAACATCTCTTCCACACATGTACAGAAACAAGCCTACTAACATCTCTTCCACACATGTACAGAAACAAGCCCACTAACATCTCTTCCACACATGTACAGAAACAAGCCCACTAACATCTCTTCCACACATGTACAGAAACAAGCCCACTAACATCTCTTCCACACATGTACAGAAACAAGCCCACTAACATCTCTTCCACACATGTACAGAAACAAGCCCACTAACATCTCTTCCACACATGTACAGAAACAATCCCACTAACATCTCTTCCACACATGTACAGGAACAAGCCCATTAACATCTCTTCCACACATGTACAGAAACAATCCCACTAACATCTCTTCCACACATGTACAGGAACAAGCCCATTAACATCTCTTCCACACATGTACAGAAACAAGCCTAACTAACATCTCTTCCACACATGTACAGAAACAAGCCCACTAACATCTCTTCCACACATGTACAGAAACAAGCCCACTAACATCTCTTCCACACATGTACAGAAACAAGCCCACTAACATCTCTTCCACACATGTACAGAAACAAGCCCATTAACATCTCTTCCACACATGTACAGAAACAAGCCCACTAACATCTCTTCCACATGTGTACAGAAACAAGCCCACTAACATCTCTTCCACACATGTACAGAAACAAGCCCACTAACATCTCTTCCACACATGTACAGAAACAAGCCCACTAACATCTCTTCCACATGTGTACAGAAACAAGCCGTCTAACAACTCTTTACGTGTGTAAGTAAACATGGTCCCCCCCCCCCCCCCCCATGATGAACACAGACACACACACAGGGGCGTAGACAGAGAGTCAATATTGAAAAGAAAAAAAAAGAGATCAGGGGAGGGAGGGAGGGAAGTGGAAAGCTCCGCCCCTTTATAAATGTTTGAGGGCGAGTGGGACTCAGGGGATTGAGAGGCCTGGTTTATATCCGCAACAAAACACAACAATAACAACAATGTGCTGTTTGGTTTAACAAATAAAATAATATATCTAACTTAACAGGAAATACATAAACAAATACAAGAGGCAGGAGAGCTGGCGAGAGACCGAGTTTCTTTCAGGCAGACTGTGATGACAGCGACGTTCTGCAAAGGACTTCCTACATGATGATGATGATTAACAAATACTTCAAATTAGGCTTTTATATATTTCTGAGATAAGTTAGGGATACTAAAGGCAGAGATTCAGAGCCTTTTCTTTTCTGGCAACAGCTCCGAAACAAAGAAATGATTTCATTCTCTAGGAGTCTGGACTGAAGGGGTTCAAGCTTTGTTTACGGGAGCAATAATTATAGTCAGAATATTTAATAATATTATTGCTCTGAATGGAAAACAAAAATAATACAGTGAAACAGTGCTAATAAGAATTCCAAGAGAACGAAATATCGAGTTCGTGTCAATAAAAATAGTGGTAGATGGGGACCATTAGCAATAAAATGTCGTTACTAGGTTTAATTGTAATATATTTGAGATAATAAGAAATACATTAGGAGAAAAACCTCGTCCCTACAAAGTATTAGCAGCGCAGGAGGAAGGGCGTGGGGGCCCTGGGATCAGCCCCTTAGCTAGTTTTTTATGGGAGTGTGGGCTTAGCTACTTAATTATTGGGAAAAGGTGGGGGCGAGGAAAGGTTGGATAAAATTGTGTTACGGTTCCATCAACTTACCTCTCATCGACATAGGTAAACTTGCCATCAACTTACCTCTCATCGACATAGGTAAACTTGCCATCAACTTACCTCTCATCGACATAGGTAAACTTGCCATCAACTTACCTCTCATCGACATAGGTAAACTTGCCATCAACTTACCTCTCATCGACATAGGTAAACTTGCCATCAACTTACCTCTCATCGACATAGGTAAACTTGCCATCAACTTATCTCTCATCGACATAGGTAAACTTGCCATCAACTTACCTCTCATCGACATAGGTAAACTTGCCATCAACTTACCTCTCATCGACATAGGTAAACTTGCCATCAACTTACCTCTCATCGACATAGGTAAACTTGCCATCAACTTACCTCTCATCGACATAGGTAAACTTGCCATCAACATTATGTCGGGACATGTATTCCATAGCTCGAACTTTGATATGACTGCTCTCCTCCCCCAAGTAAGGATTAAAGGGCAGCTGTTCCCTGCCCACGGCCACCAGACAGTTCAGGATTGAGCAGTCGTTATCGGCCTCGCTGTCTTCGTCCAGGCCAATCTTGGCTTTACTCCAGGACTTGAGGTACCCCGTGCAGTGGATCACCTTGTAGTTCTTACGTTCTGAGGATAGAAACGTGATTGAAGTGTGAATAACTAGGTAAATATTTCATTTTGGTGAGATACGACTTGGCCCAACCCTAAAGCCCTACACTCAACAATGATGACAACACAACCTGACCTAGCCCTACACTCAACAATAGTGATAACACAACCTGACTCACGCTCTACACTCAACAATGATGATACATTACCTGGCCCAAGCCTACACTCAACAATGATGACAACACAAAAATGACTCAGTCATGCATGCCCTGGAAATTCAGTAAGAGAAAAACAGAGGCGAGCGCCTGTAGGTTGTAAGCAGTTATGCTAATCGCAGCTATTTACAGATGACAGCCGAAGCAGCAGACGTTCGTCCATCGAGAGAGTCGTGGTCTCTTAATTAATCTGCTTGATTTTTGCCTCTTAACTTGACCTAGACCGAGCACAAGACCTGGTGTTTGTTAAATAATAATCTGGGAAGTAAGGTCTATGCTGTGATCTTAATTTGTGACTGTCTGATACTTCTCATATCGTCGATTTAAAAAAAATGTCTGTCTGTGTGGCAGTGTATCCGTCCGTTCGTCCCAGCTTCCATGCGTCCAACTGCCATCCTTACCATAACCATAAGGGGAGGGAACCTGCTCGGACCCAGGCGACAAACTACGACTGCAATCATTACCTTCCTTATGAACTGGATGGACCTTGGACCTCAAAGAGGCATCTAGGTTATGTACAGTTAGCAGTCAGTTCCTATAGAAGAAGACCATTAGGCTTTCCAGCTGACATTATATTAAAATTTTTTTTTACCCACTTGCCAGTCCGTTTGTCTGTCTCATTCTTCAGTCCATTAGCTACAAACAGAGCATGTGTCCTTAACCAACATCTTCATCCGCTGCCAAGGCGTGCAACTCACTCAGTGTCATCCCATTCTTCTTCAGTACTGTCTAAAACTACATGTCTTTTGTTCGCGTGTTTCTTTATTTCACCGTGAAACTGCGAGTCCTAAAGCTATTATAACACTGTAGCGTTATTATTTTCACGTTTTCAGAATTTATCCAGCTTCAACGATACATTTTTTTTTTAAATTACTTACTTCACTTTAATGTGTTTAGGTCTCGGCCAAAGTTCGCGATTCTGTATATAATTTTCCCGTGTAAGAACGATGACTTGTGGTGAACATTTTCTGTAAATGTAATAGTTTCCACTGCTGGCTTAATGTTGAACCATATCGTGGTCACTTCACATACAATGTGAGCCTACGGGTTCCAGAGCTGCCAACTGAAAAACATTAGAGAGGTCTATCATCTCTTAACCCGAGTCCCTGCATTTTTTTTAGCTGAATACTCTTAGCACTCACCCGACTTCCGTTTCCGGTGATATGTGATTTCAAGTAGCTCTTTCTTGACCTTCATAGAGGCAGCAAGATCAGAATTGACTTTTCCTGCACACTTCATGTGGCAGAAGAATGATCTTCGTGCACCGGAGCAGAGGTGCGTGGGCTTCTGGGGGTACTCAGTCTTCACGGGAAGCATAGCTGTAAGATTGTGAAACATTTGATCATGGCTGTAAGATTGTGTTTGATCATGGCTGTAAGATTGTGTTTGATCATGGCTGTAAGATTGTAAAACCTTTAATCATGGCTGTAAGATTGTGAATCATTAGATCATGGCTTTAAGATAGTGAATCATTTGATCATGGCTATAAGATTGTGAAACATTTGACTACATTAGCAGTTTTAAAATTATAGTGCTCTCCTGAGTGACTTTAATTTGTTCTGTCCGCGCTTCTGGTAAATGAAACTAATAAGTGTTGGACGCCAAAGATTCTCCGCGCTTTTTTCTCTTCTTCTATTTAACACACGTCGCAGTATTCGGCATTTTTTTTTTTTTTTTTGGTAGATTCGTAGATTTTTCTGTGAATTAAATTTTTTTTTTTTTTCTATTAAAAATCAGAAATATTTGCACGCAGAGCCTTAGAGTAAAGTGAAGAACCTTGTTCACGCTCATGGCACATCGTGACACATCATAGGACATCAATGCACATCATGACACATCGCGGCACATCGCGCATTTGATGCTGGATTCATACATTTTAAAAACCAAATGGCAACACCCGAACTGGTCAACATCAAACCGACTGCCCTTACTTCCCGAACAATTTCCTAGTATTTGTTGTAAACTAGACTGACCTGAGAGCCAAAGACAATTTTAATAATTCCTCCTGTAGCAGATTCGGATGCAAGATTTCAGTCTGGCAGGCAACAGACTGCCTGAGAAAGATTCGAATACAAGATTTCAGTCTGACAGGCAAAAGTCCGCCTGGGAAAGATTCGAATACAGGATTTAGGCATGACAGGTAACATTCTGGCTACAGCAGTACTAGGACTCTAACAAACGTATGGCTACAGAAGTACTGGGACTCTAACAAAAATCTGGCTACAGCAGTACTGGGACTCTAACAAACGTCTGGCTACAGCAGTACTGGGACTCTAACAAAAGTCTGGTTACAGCAGTACTGGGACTCTTAACAAAAGTCTGGCTACAGCAGTACTGGGACTCTAACAAAAGTCTGGCTACAACAGTACTGGGACTCTAACAAACGTCTGGCTACAGCAGTACTGGGACCCTAACAAACGTCTGGCTACAGCAGTACTGGGACTCTAACAAAAGTCTGGCTACAACAATATCGAGACTAACAGTGCATCTGGTGCACTTTACTTTCCAAGGTGCCACTTGTATCCTCTGCCCATTTTTATACTGGTCTTCCTGTGCCTTATTTTATGGAACATTGCCATTTGCTATTTGCGTCGTGGCGCTTGATGTGGCCAACATATTTTAGTTTCATACTCAAGAGGTTGTTTCCTGTAAGTTCAGATGTTTTGAGATGTCAGTATTTCTATTCTTTTTTGTCCATGGTAATCTCAGAATCTGTCTGTAGCATTTCAGCTCAAAAGCCTATATGTTCTTATTTAAGGACTGCTAGATAGTCACATCCGTGTGTTGCTGAAGGGGAGATGAATGTTCTAAAATTGTTCAGTTTGATTTCCTTATTTATGTTGAATCATAGATCTGTAATGCCACATGATCGATGCACCGATATGGACATCCTCCTTTTCACTTCTGTTTCCATCGCTGTTCATTACAGTTTTTTACAAGTGTATGACATTTTCAATGGCTTCACATTAATTGTTTTTTGTGTGTGTGGGTGACAGACAGCATTCTCTGTGGACATTATTTTTAACAATGCATCAGAGGTAAAGTTGACTTTTATATTGTCCCGGTTTTATTATTTAGTTTCTCAGAGATACAAACGGAGAAAAGCAAAGAGAAAGAAGATGACGAGTTTTTTCTGTCTTTTGTAAAACATACTGATTACTTGTCTGGAAAATGTAGTCACTGAGATGGTTCTGTAAAAAGAGGATTCTCTTCGTTTGTATTTGTATGTCTTGTGTGTTTGAAAACTTTGATGGATTTAGAGCCATGTAACAACAATATGTCAACGACATACATGGGGTGTTGGTATACTCCTAGTACTAGCAACATGACTTACTTTTGACATCGATGAGCCTTTCCCGTGGCGTCAGATCTGATGAAGATAATTGCTCCTTGACTTTGCTGATGTCACGTGGGTGCAAGATGTCAAACAAGCTCTGGCCAATGAGATCAGACTGGAAATAAAAGAATAGGGATAGTGGATAAGCAAAATTAGAAAGGTTCAGCAGGTGGTGCTGGGGTTTGATGTTTGTTGTCGACATATTACTGATTTAACAATCGACACCTTAGCCCACCGGGCATACCCATAGATGCTCCGTCTTCCGCAGAAAATGACGTAAGGTGTAGATACTAACTGTTCCCGTAGCATTCTGATTATACACACGCCGATCTATTCCTTTCATCCATCCCTTCTTGCCTGATCCATACTTAATTCCTCGTTCACACATTCTTGCCCATGTTATTTCATCTAATCTCGTGTCTTCTGCCAAAAGTCGATCATATATGGTCTTCAGAATATCTCCCTTGTCCGGTACGAGTGTCCCCTTATCTTTCGCTTTTGTAGCCGGAACATCCGCTCTTTCATTCCCTCGCACTCCTGCATAACCCGGACAGTATTTCCACGTGATTTCCTGCAAAGTTGGCGTTCTGATGCATGGTATCCACTGATGCCACATTAGTCCATGTTGAAGCTTCCGCAATGCCGACTGAGAATCAGACACGATAATTTCTTTGGTAACATTGTTTTCTGCAATCCAGTTCAGAGCTGCAGTGATTGCCTCCACTTCCATTCTCATGCTAGAAGTTGTAGATAAAAAAAAAAAAGCTGCGTTTTGTACTGCCACAATTTTTCCTCTCATTCTAGCCGAAAATCCACAGCCAGATCTTACACCCGATGAACAGGACCATCGGTGTACACTACTGCATCGTCTAGTCCAGTTTTTCCATCTACCTGTAATTCTGCCATACGGTTACATCACTCTCTACATTCTGTTCCTAACGTGAAAATGACCTGATGGAAACTGCTGTTGTGGGTGTTCGTGTCGATCCATTCTTGCCCCTGTGTATTTAATTGACTGAGGCCGGCGTCTCGATGGTATCTTCAGCTAGTACCATCCATGACTTTCTTTCTTTCAACCTGTCTTTTCTTAAATCGTTTAGATTACTATACAGCTAGCGCCTTTCACCGTTGGTAACTCGCATAAATGCCTAGGCTTGCCCCAGTGACAGTCTAGACTTCACCGATGTCAGCATAAGCATATACCTCATTGTTCTAGGGTGGGTGTCCCGTGTGCAACCCAAGACGATTCTCATTCCTTCATTTCGAATCCTTTCAAGCTTTTGTACACTGTGAAGTAGATAGGGTTATATTTCTAGGCTGTAATCGATTACAGAAAGGCCCAAATGGTTGAACAGTAAGACCAATAATCTCTGTTCCATGTGTATTGCTACCATCGTCTTCAGTGCCGCCAGGCCACGCTTGCATTTAATCAGTCTGTTCCACGTGATATCTGTAGGACAGACTGCGATCAAACGTCAAACCTAAGTATTTCAGATAACGGCAATGTCGCAGATCAGTGTGGCACTGTACCACTATGTAAGTTTTCTTTAGGTACTTGTCAATGTTTCACCTCACCTTTCAGGACATCGACAGGAATGATTTTTCTTTTTGAAATACCAAATTGTATTCGTATTAAATAATCGCTTCTCTGGGTCCGAAGGTCATGGTAAATCCGAAGGGAGCCTGACTAGCATTGGTAATCATTTCCACGTCACTTTTGAATCGTGAATACCACCTGAAAATTTGTGCACGAGATAAACAATTATCCCCATAAACTTGATGCATCAATTCTACTGTTTCAATGGCGCTTTTTCTGAGTTTTAAAAAAGAATTTAATGTTAGCTTTTTGCTCCGTGCTGATTACGAAACAATGCATATCTGACCAGGTCAACAAAATGGCGACATGTTTGTTGTCTGCTTATCGGACGGTGCTGAAAAGTTACTAGATCATAGATAAATGTTGCTTTTTTTAGATTCGATGCTTTGCTTCATAAATGGCATTTTTGTCTTGACCATATTAAAATAAATCTGATTACTTAATTGTCGACCTTATAAATATTTGTTTATATATATATAGATATATAAAACTACAGTGACATAATTATTAACAGGCTAAATGCCAAATTTCAACAACTTGAACTGAACAGTTCTTGAGGTGGTGATTTTTTAAGTCAGGTACAACATTTGGAACAGATTATGGCTTTGTTTTCTTTACTGCTCTTGGGCCGCTACTTTTGCTCCAATGTCTCCTTCGTCTCGTTCTCTCAGCTGTTTTTATACAACTAAGCTTTCGAGTGAATTTGCGTTTTTATTCTCGAAGGCTTTTACTGTTTATTCCTTGTCTTTGTTTATTTCTTCTGTTAAACTATAGTCTGGTTAACATCAGTATATGTATAGTCCGTTATCTAGGTAATCAGTGAATATCTTTCACAAGGCGCTGCAAATTACCCTATAATTTGTTAGTTTTGTGATTTTAATTTGGCAATTTTACGATTAGTAATTTGTCATTGTTCTCTAGTCTGTAGAATCTCACACCATTGCCAGTATCAACGCAAAGCGATTAGCTATCAAATCGCCTGCAGCTAGTCTAACCCAGTATATCAGAATTATGAAACTGTAAGTCATTACCTCTAAGTCAGCGATTCTTAACCTATGTGTCGCGACCATTTTTTTTTAACGGTCAAACTATCCTTTCACAGGCGTCGCCAAAAACCATCACTGAAGTTATCGCCAAAAACCATAACTAAAGTTATCGCCAAAAACCATCACTGAAGTTATCGCCAAAAACCATAACTAAAGTTATCGCCAAAAACCATCACTGAAGTTATCGCCAAAAACCATCACTGAAGTTATCGCCAAAAACCATCACTGAAGTTATCGCCAAAAACCATAACTAAAGTTATCGCCAAAAACCATCACTGAAGTTATCGCCAAAAACCATAACTAAAGTTATCGCCAAAAACCATCACTGAAGTTATCGCCAAAAACCATCACTGAAGTTATGAAGTAGCGACGAAAATAACTGTATGGTTGGGGGTCACCACGACACGAGGAACTGTATTGAAGGGTCGTCACAACAGGAGGAACTGTATTAAAGGGCCGTCACAACAGGAGGAACTGTATTGAAGGGTCGTCACAACAGGAGGAACTGTATTAAAGGGCCGTCACAACAGGAGGAACTGTATTGAAGGGTCGTCACAACAGGAGGAACTGTATTGAAGGGTCGTCACAACAGGAGGAACTGTATTAAAGGGCCGTCACAACAGGAGGAACTGTATTGAAGGGTCGTCACAACAGGAGGAACTGTATTAAAGGGCCGTCACAACAGGAGGAACTGTATTGAAGGGTCGTCACAACAGGAGGAACTGTATTAAAGGGCCGTCACAACAGGAGGAACTGTATTGAAGGGTCGTCACAACAGGAGGAACTGTATTAAAGGGCCGTCACAACAGGAGGAACTGTATTGAAGGGTCGTCACAACAGGAGGAACTGTATTGAAGGGTCGTCACAACAGGAGGAACTGTATTAAAGGGCCGTCACAACAGGAGGAACTGTATTGAAGGGTCGTCACAACAGGAGGAACTGTATTAAAGGGCCGTCACAACAGGAGGAACTGTATTGAAGGGTCGTCACAACAGGAGGAACTGTATTGAAGGGTCGTCACAACATGAGGAACTGTATTGAAGGGTCGTCACAACAGGAGGAACTGTATTGAAGGGTCGTCACAACAGGAGGAACTGTATTGAAGGGTCGTCACAACAGGAGGAACTGTATTGAAGGGTCGTCACAACAGGAGGAACTGTATTGAAGGGTCGTCACAACAGGAGGAACTGTATTGAAGGGTCGTCACAACATGAGGAACTGTATTGAAGGGTCGTCACAACAGGAGGAACTGTATTGAAGGGTCGTCACAACAGGAGGAACTGTATTGAAGGGTCGTCACAACAGGAGGAACTGTATTGAAGGGTCGTCACAACATGAGGAACTGTATTAAAGGGTTGGCACAACACGAGGAACTGTATTAAAGGGTTGTCACAACACGAGGAACTGTATTAAAGGGTTGTCACAACACGAGGAACTGTATTAAAGGGTTGTCACAACACGAGGAACTGTATTGAAGGGTCGTCACAACATGAGGAACTGTATTAAAGGGTTGTCACAACACGAGGAACTGTATTAAAGGGTTGTCACAACACGAGGAACTGTATTAAAGGGTTGTCACAACACGAGGAACTGTATTAAAGGGTCATCACAACACGAAGGCCTTTATTAAAGGGTCATCACAACATGAGGAACTGTATTAAAGGGTTGTCACAACACGAAGGCCTTTATTAAAGGGTCATCACAACATGAGGAACTGTATTAAAGGGTTGTCACAACACGAAGGCCTTTATTAAAGGGTCATCACAACATGAGGAACTGTATTAAAGGGCCGTCACAATATGAGGAACTGTATTAAAGGGTCGTCACAACATGAGGAACTGTATTAAAGGGTCATCACAGCATGGGGAACTGTATTACCGGGTCGTCACAACATGAGGAGCTGTTTTGAAGGGTCGTCACAACATGAGGAACTGTATTGAAGGGTCGTCACAACATGAGGAACAGTATTGAAGGGTCGTCACAACATGAGGAACTGTATTAAAGGGTCGTCACAACATGAGGAACTGTATTGAAGGGTCGTCACAACAGGAGGAACTGTATTGAAGGGTCGTTACAACAAGAGGAACAGTATAGAAGGGTCGTCACAACACGAGGAACTGTATTAAAGGGTCGTCACAACATGAGGAACTGTATTGAAGGGTCGTCACAACAGGAGGAACTGTATTGAAGGGTCGTTACAACAAGAGGAACAGTATAGAAGGGACGTCACAACACCAGGAACTGTATTAAAGGGTCGTCACAACATGAGGAACTGTATTAAAGGGTCGTCACAACACGAGGAACTGTATTAAAGGGTCGTCACAACAGGAGGAACTGTATTGAATGGTCGTCACAACATAAGGAACTGTATTGAAGGGTCATCACAACATGAGGAACTGTATTGAAGGGTCATCACAACAAGAGGAACTGTATTAAAGGGTGGTCACTGTGACGAGCTGGTCTGGACAGCTG